ATTGTGGTCACCTGATCTTTTCGTTTAAAGCCAAACCCAGTTGAGTTCCAGATCCAGTTTTCCCTGGGTCAAAGGGTCATCAGGCTGGTTTGCAATAAGCTCATTTAAGAGGAAGGTACCACCGTGCTTCATAGGAAGGATGAATCTGGGCTGAGAGAGAGAGAGAGACTCATTAGACATAAAACAATCTATATACCTGGGGGTTGTTAAGGAGAAGCCTCCCTTTTAAGCATCGGCATAAACTGCAGCTTTAACATTTTTAATGGACCTTCCAGGTCATCTGTCGGGGACATTCCATGGGCGGGGTCAGCACTAAAATATTGTTCATTCAAACACATTATTTGGGAAATAGGAATCACCACGGTCCAATTAACCCAGTGCCCCTTCCCTAACAGTGGCCAGTGCCAGTTGTTTCTGAGGAAAGTGTGGGAAACCCCGTGGTGGGCGGATGTGGGGTAACCTGCATGCCTGTGAAGGTCTCATCCTAATCTCTAATACCGAATAATCGGATTAAGACCTAAAGCATGAAGTTTAATATCCCTCCCAACGTTTTTTGTTAGTGGTAACTATTATAGCGGGATATTCTTTTTCTCCATACAAATGTATAATCCCTTTTCAAATCTTGCACAGTTCTCGGCCTCAATGACATCCTGTAGCAGTGAATTCCACAGTCCAGTCACTTGTGAAAAAATATTTCCTTTATTCAGTTTTGAGTTTGCTATCTTTTAATTTAATTGAACATCTCCTTGTTCTTGTGTTGTGAAACAGGGAGAACAGAAGTTCCTGGTCTGTCCCGTCTAGACCAGTCATTATTTTATATAATTTTATCAAGTCCCCTCTTCTTCGTCTCCTTTCTAAGGTAAAAAGTCCCAGTCCGTTCAGCCTCCAAGGCCCCCAGTCATTCTCATTGCCGTTCTCTGTACCCTCTCTAGTTCTGCAGTATCCTCAAGGCCCTTCATTTTCAGTATTTATTTTGTTTAAAATTTCCCAGGAATTTAAGTGTTACTACAAAAAATTAAAAAATGGATGAAAATTAGTGCAAAAAAAATAGCGTTACGTTTTTCTGAGTCAATATCACATTTAATATTGGGGGTCTGGAAAACAGAATAAAAGCAACTAATAGAGAAAAATAAAGTCTTGAACATAAAAGCAGTTTAATGCTATGGTTTATTTAATGAACTGTATAGTAACAATACGTACACATATGGACGCACGTGTATATTTATCTGCCTCTGTATTGCCTTCCTTGAACAGACATTTACACTTAGACTAACTTATTAACAAACACGTCTTCCTAGCATAGTGTACTGCATTTTCTTTACATAATCAGTATTTTCATATAGTTGGTCCAAAATTCAGGTGAAAATCAGTAAAAACTAAATACCTTTATAAAACGTGGGAATTTTTCAGTGAAAACTTAAAGAATCTTAAATACCCTGTTCAAGATGGGGGTGACCAGCTCTGCACACAGGACCCAGATGAAGCTGCCCCATTAATCTGCATAATGGTTTCATTTCTATATATTGGTTTGTACCTCCTGCCCAAGACACTCTGCGCAGCGCTGCCATAAACTGCAAAGAGCGACCAGCCAGCAGAATCCAAATTCCCTTCCCCCCAAGAGGTCCAATTCCCATCAAATCCTACAGCATGGCGACTTTCTGTGCAAATCTATACACCTTATAGTGCCCCCAGAGCCGCCCAGTAAACCAAGGCGGTTTGGCACTGATGGGGCTGGTGGAGGGAGAATCTTGTTCCAGAGGGTTCTACCCCCATCCCATATGTATTATTATTTGTATTACCATAGCACTGTAGAGTCCTTGCCCCCCACAGGAATCGCATCGCCATAGCTAGAATCATGTTTGGTTTCTCCATTTCTTCCTTCCTTTCTGTGAAGTGGAAAAAGATTTTCTTTAGTTCAGACAATAAAAACCTCACTCAGTTCCCCCGCCCACCTCTCTCCTTAAGCTATGTCTGAGCCTGGCGGCTTGATTCCTGAGGGAGGGTTGCAGCCTCGTCTCTTGCCGGAGGCTTGGCTCCCAGTCAGTTCGATAGGAGTCGAGCAGACAGATAGCTGTACTGCTCTCATCAATCGCCCACGCCTCCAGGGTTTCTGCTTTGAAATTGTGCTGTGTCAGGAAGAAGGGAAATCTCTCCCCAAGGTGATGGCTCGGGGTCATGCAGAGGCTGTGGTATCTGGGGCAAGGCGAGGAATCCGAAATGATTCTTGTCAACCTTTGAGGTGGTTTAGGAGTTAGATGATATATAAAACCTCTAGGCTGGCTGAATCTGCAAGAGCCTGTCGAGTACCACCAGCCTGCAAAGCGTAAACTGAGGGGCTCATGATACTGTAGGCAAATGGCAAATTGTTTTCTCGGCCCCGACTTCTAAAGAATCCAGCATGTGACAGCGTGCTCTGTGGGGTCTGGTTTCCCCTTGAGGCATTGCTTTTCCCTAGTTTCTACTAGTTTGAATACTAAGTTGTATGATACAACAAAACACAGCCTAGACCCTACAACCAGAATCTTGGGAGGTTTGTAAGGGGAGTGAGACATTCTGCCTTGCATATGGCAAGCAATGGCCCACAAACAACATGAAGTACAAACCCTGAGTGCACATGGAGCAGTGAGCCATTCAGGTGGAAAGCAGCAATTTTTCCCAGAGCTTTTCCATTGCCGGGATCCTCCCTTTGCTGGCTCGCCCATCCAGCACATCACGTTTCTTCTTCTCTGCTGAGCAGAGATGCACTGTGGCTGCCTTGAGAAAGCAGCCTCCCCTGCATATGTATGCTCCCCAGCATGCAGGGACAAAGCTCCTGTTCTCACTGCAGGGGCACATTCCGGTTCTTTCTCCGTGACTTGCACCGTTTACAAGCCCAGATGTCATACCTTGAGCTCTGCACATGGATGCAAGAGGGGCTAAAGGGGTAGATGGGAACACTTAGGAGCCTGCAGTGTGCCTGACTCTTGGAAGCCAATGCCCTAGAGATGTCACGTGCCCCCACGCTGTGCAGACCTCTTGTTCTGTCTGGGAGGAGAGCAGTGGCTTTATTCCACAGTGTGGTTAAATGTCATGTGAAGGATTGTGCTGCCACATCTGCTTTCCCAGTCTCTCTGTCGCTTGCCTTGCTTCGGCTGCTGATGGACTGTCTCTGTGAAACGTTCGGGGAGCCTGGGCTTGGAAGCCACTCTCCAGCACTGGGCTCTGGGCACTCTGCAGCCACAGCCCCGCATTGGGGTTTGTAGGATCACTCCTTGGAGAGCCCCAGTGACGAGTGCAGCGGTTGCTCCCCTTGGTGCCTGCTCTGGGCCTCACCTCATCCCATCTCCTTTGGAGAGACCCAGGCGGCAATGCTAGCCCTGCAGTCTTTGCACTAAACTATCCACAAAAGAGGGTGGCTTTGTTCCTGGGGCTTTCATGCAGGGCCAGGCACAGCCCACGCGACGTGTATGAACCTGACATTACAGAGTATGAAAATGGGCTTGTACTGACTGTCCATTCAAACCCCACTCTTCCCTTTCTCCCCCCGCCCTCTCTTTTCTGCAACAGCAAACATGGAGGGCATGATTACCATCATGGGCCTGAAGCCAGAGACGACCTATGCCATCAGACTGTCAGCCATCAACGGCAAGGGCCTGGGAGAGATCAGTGCAGTGTCTCAGTTCAAGACCCAGCCAGTTCGTAAGTAAACATCAACCCTTCCCCCCTCCCTTTGCCTCTTTGGTTCTCTCTCTGGCTTTCCCCAGGGGATCCCTGCTGTGTATGGGCAGTGCCTCTTTCTCTTGCAGGTCTCGGTGCACCCTTTGCAAGTCTATTGAGCTTTTATGTTTTTGCCGGATTCCATCATGAATATTTTCCCTCTTCCAAGGGTGGGGTTTTATATTGGGCCACACCCCCATGACTGCAACAAATGTTCTACTCTCCAGGAGACTTGGGCAGCAGGCAATCAGATGGCATTTTCATAATACAAGCAAGCAGCCTATTGAGAAGGGCTGGGTCTCCCAATTGAAGCGACAGGCTGTTTCCGTTGCTTGGGGAGGAATTGGGTGGGTGTCGGAGAAGCTGCCGTGAGAATAAGTTTGAAACGGCAGGAGGGAGGGAAGGTTATTTCACTGCGCCGCTGTTTGCTCTGTTAAAATGTTCACCCGCCTTGCCCTGAATCATCTCCATCTGTCAGTGGGATGCGTCTCTGCAGCCCTGGGGCCTCCCCTCCCCACCTCACTCATGAGCAAAAAGCCCTGGAGCCAAAATCGGGTTTGATTTTTGGAGGGGGGATGGAGTGCAAATTCTGCCAGCTGGGAAAGAGAGAAAATAATGACATTCCATGTGCATGAAGCAGCATACTGGAGCCAGAAGGGAAGAGCTGATGTTTGCTTTATATGGAGCCCCGCACTCTTTTATATCTGATCCCAGCCAAGGACTTAAGATTCTGGGGTAGCCCAAGTTGACTCCTTGGGCATTCCTGCCACACTCCCGCATGGTGTTTGATGTGGTGTTCACCCCCTTCACAAGGGTGCGCCTGAATGTGTCCACGTGCACCTCCTGCTCTCCTGACTCTGCTCAAGCTAACGACGCTTTGCAGGCGCTGTCATGGGTTCAGCGCTGTCTCCTCCATGATGCTCTAGCACACTGCCACTGATCATTCTGGAGCCCCTCAGAGTTTTGCACAGTCCCATAGGAAGCCACACTCCTGATCACCCTGGCTATCAAGCCCAGCAGCACTGAACAGTGCAGTTTGTACAGAATGGTGTAAGCATCGTGTTCCAAGAGAACCCAATCCCATATGACAAGCCAAATCCCGTATTACTTCTCACCTTGTTGCAGTAATCCCCTTGTCTGACCCCTCTCCATTGAGTACAGCACCTGTTGTTTTGAATTTCCAGCTCCATGGTCTCTATCGCCTCTCTTCATCTCTTTGACATTTTTGTTTTTGGGTGTATCTCTTTTCTTTTTGTCTGTGTTCCATCTATGGAAAACTGCAGGCATTCCTCATTCACGTAAGTGCCTCTCTGCATCTCTCTTTCTTTCTAGCCATCCCTGGAATGCTCCCCTAACATGCCATAGCTCTAGCATTTAATGTAGTTTTTTCTCCCTCTCCTTGTCCTTAGAAAAAAGTAGACGGTACTAGGCATCTCCTAATAACGCTGACCCTAGAGTAGTCATTCTGCTCTGCTTAATATGGCTCTCTGTTGAACTGAGCTCAGAGGCCTTTACAGCATGCAATATCAAAGGTTTGTCACTTGCAAGGATTTTTTCTAAAGGTCAGGCACTACTGGATCAGCAGTTGCGGAGTGGAGTAGCAGAATGTTTCTAGGTTAGCACTCATTAAAAATTTTCAAGTTTTCATGAACTTTAGACATTCAGAAAAACAAACAGCAAAGAGCTTCAACATTTAAGAAGATTTTTTTTGTTTTTCTGCCCACTCAGAAATTTTCAAAAATTCTGCATTTTTTTCAAAATTTGGAAGTAAAGGGGGGAAAATTTTGAGAAAATGTTCACAATTTCCCCCCTCCTTTTAACAAGCTCTATTCTTAGTAGCACTTACAGTCCTCCAGCAATTAAATGGATTGCAGCCACTTTCCCTTTAGTGCACAGACATATCTCCTTCTCCACCGGCAAAAATCCAAAATTAACTGAAGAAAATTAATGATGGATTTGATGTGTTTGTTTATTTAGAACACTTAGGTTTATAATCCAGGCTTAGTCAAAAAGTATTCATCACATATTCCATAGCTATTCCTGCCTTTCAGATTAACAGCATGGCAGTGAGGCGATGCCACTTCAGCTGGGTGAGAATTGCAGTAGCAGCTGCTTGCTGTATTACGACATACCCCCTTCTGGTGAGCTGATCCTGTGGCCAAAATGATAGTGGCAGCCTTTATTGGGCTGTTACCACCACGTTTGTGTTCTCAGAAACTTGCCAGAAGATATTGCAGCTCCCGAAAAGTGTATCAGTAGATATAGATTGTGAAATTCTGGCTTCACTGAAGTTAAGAGATTGGCTGTTGACTTCAATAGGGCCAGGATTTTCCCTATAGGATTCTTGAGCTATTGGTGGTGAAATACTGTGGTTCTATAGAAAATCAAAGTTTGGGTAGATCACTAGATTGATCAGTGGGTTGACTAACAGATAGCTAGATAGATAAGTATAGAGGTGGTTGGATAGAATTTGAGATTGTACCAATTACAGATAGGATAAGGTCAATGGGAAGAAATGTCTTAACCAATTGTGATTCCTGGACATGTGTGCAGTATTCTGCCTACATTGTTTGGAACCTATAATTTTAGCAGAAGTAATTTATACCTCATATAAAGCTAATCACAGTTAGTATTGTAGCCATCTAGCAATTGGTTTGGCAGTGTGTTCTGAATTGGACAACAGCAGTGATATGCTGGGGAGATAAAGACACAGGCACTCAGAACTATAATGATGAATGCCATAAAGAGAGGGGGGAAAAGGACTGAATTATGCAGCAAAAAAGGATATCAAAAGCCATGCTCACAGTCATAGCTCCAGATATGCCTGCCAAGCCACATGCACATCATCTGGTAACAATTCTATGGCTCTTACAACAGCAGAGTTAAATCACACCTGTAATATGGCATTTTTCACTGTGTTTTAAAGTACGGAGCCGTCATCTAGAATTTGGTTTTCTGGACCAAAATGTATCTTCTCCTGTTTGATGGGACAGAGCTGCAGGTGCCCTGGCATGTCAGCTGATACAGGCTGAGATGTACTCCTGCTCATGGAGTTTTCACAGCTTAATCTGGACAAATGCACCACCTACCTCTTGCAGTGTGATTGTTGGAGCAGATGAAACTAGAGGAGATGGTGATGGGAAACCAGGCGTGAGGAGGAGATGTAAAATGATGCGTGGAGGTTGTTCCATGTGGGGGAATAGCGTGAAAGAAGGAGCAAAGCATAGAGTGATGAGAGAGGGGGATAAGTTATATCAGAGGCTTGGTCAGGACAGCTGTCAGGTTTTCCTGTAGGTCGTTGTAGAAACACTCATGGAAATGATGATGGATGACCACAGAGACTCGCTGTGGTGCAACTTCATAGAGCGTAGGTAAGGCAGGCTGGACACAGGGATCTGACCTGTGATTATGTAGACAGGATGGCTGGAATCTGTTGTGGGGATCGAGCACCTGAAAGTGCACAAAATCTAACCAGAATAGTGATTTAACACGCTCTAACGTTAGGGTCCAACTCTGCCACCTTGATGGTGAGCAGCATGTACTCACACAGGCCACTCCACTGTGTCCATGCGACCATTCTGGGTAAGCACCAGATGCCATTTGAATCGGGTGGCAGAATCAGGCCCCTGATAAGGAATGCAGATCAGGCTGTGAAGGGCCCAGTGCCTCTAGGGAGCTGAGGAAGTTAGAGCAGACATTGGACAAGCTCGCTTAGCAGAAGAGCTCTGAGGGTTTGGAGCATCATTATTGCAGTACTGTTTCCTTTTCACTCTCTTTCCCTACCTGCTCCCATCCCCTTCTCCGCCATCCCACCTTGCTCTGAATCAGGCTCAGAGTTGCCCTGCTGGTTTTCAAGACGTATCACGTCCTTGCCTCAGCCAGCTTCTCCTGCCTCTGAACAGCTCCTTCCATCTCAGCCTCCTCCCTGACACATCTCCCTTGACAGTGGCACTCCACTCACTAGCACCACCCTATCTGTCTGAAGCCCTGTCTCTGCCTCTTATACTCCTCCATCTTTCAATCTCTCTTTGCAACTTTCCTTTCGTTTCCTCCAGCTTACAAGAGACTCTGATGTTCTCTGTGAATGTGTGCGTGAAGGCGGCTCCATAAGAATACACCACATTGTATTACCTCAGGGGCTTTTGAATTGGTTTTATTTGTTCATGCGACTGATGGAAGATCAGACCAGGAAAGACCCTCTGGGATTTCATAATCTCCCAGCAGGGTGGTTTTGGGAAGGAGTTCCACACCAGCTTTGCTCTTCTAAATTATTTGGGAATATTGTGGCAAAGGGAAGCCAAGGGAATGCTGTGGGATGTATGTGATGCACTGAGGTTCCTTGGAAAACATGGCACAGTGCTGCCTCCTCTGGTCTTGGGCTGGGGACTCAGCATTGTAGAAGGAGTAGCAGAAAGTACAATCTCATGCTTTTACTCATGCTGCATAGGACTTTGTTCCATGAGTAGTCTTCATCAGCCTTGTCCATGCTAATATAAACACATAGCATGGGGTACCTAAAATATTTAATTATACCATTTTTTGAAAACTCCACACAATTTCCCCTGGTGACAGGAAATGAGAAAAATAGAACCACACCTGACAGATGCTAGTCAGAGTGAGTACAATTTTCAGAAATGCCTATGTGACCACTGTTATAGCCTTGTTGATCCCAGGATATTAGAGAGACAGGGTGGGTGAGGGAATATCTTTTTGTTGAATCAACTTCTGTTGGTGAGAGAAACACCCGATGAAGAGCTGTGTAAGCTCGAAAGCTTGTCTCTCGCCAGCAGAAGCTGTTGATCAGTGAAGGAGAGCTGCATAAGAACTTAATGACAGGTTTCAGAGTAGCAGCCGTGTTAGTCTGTATCCGCAAAAAGAAGAACTTATAAGAACTTAAAAAGACTAGGACAGAATAGTCCTGACATCAGTGGAACCACTTGTGGAGTAAAGATGGTCTTCCACGTGAGTAAAGATATCAGAATCTGGCCCTCAGTAGGAAGGCAGGAAGCAATGGCTACTTATCATGCAGCAGTTTTTCAGACAGAAAGTGAGTCCTGCAAAAAGAATTCTGTAAGCACCCTAGCACTTATTTTTGTAGAGCCTTGTGTAACTGATTTGTATGATGATACTGACGTAAGATTTTCAGGTTTGCATAGGTT